ATCTACTTTCGTCAACCTTTATAAAATATCATTATTTTCTCAAAAAACCCTTTTCTTGACCCTAAAAACACAATTCAAAATTTTGAGAAACTGACTTCAGATTCGGATCCCCTGACCCCGATCTACTTTCGTCAACCTTTATAAAATATCATTATTTTCTCAAAAAACCCTTTTCTTGACCCTAAAAACACAATTCAAAATTTTGAGAAACTGACTTCAGATTCGGATTCCCCGACCCCGATTTACTTTCGTCAACCTTCGTGGAAAACTTTCTAAAGTGGAAGTTTTTTTTGACCCCGATGCAGACACACACACAAACTATTTTTTTTTTCATATGACCCTCCCTACAGTCGAGGGAATAACTAAAATTTTAATTTGTTTTAAAATTTTCAGTAAATTTTTTTGAAATTTGAAAACCGAAAATTTCAGACCTAAGATTATTTTAAATTTGAATAAATAAAATTTAAAACACAACTGAAATTGAATTTAACAGATTTTTAATTTCGATTTTATGTTCGCAAATAAGAGGACACGTACAGAAGTGGTGGTTCCACTTCTAATCCTCAAAATGTGTTCGACACGCACGGACAAGCCCAGAGACTAAAATAGTCAAAGTAATTCCATAAAAAATGTTAAAAATAAAATAAAAATTGATGTAGCTCAGGATATGGGTGTGCTGGAAATGAATACCCACACCCCTACTGATCGATAATACGCGTTGTTTCTGTGTTTTGTATCGTATTTGGAATGAACAATAAAATGTGTCTCGTATACTGGAATGATCTCCGATCTTTTCATGGACGCTCTCTTAAAGATTTTATTAGAAACTCTTAAGATTTACAACATATTAGTTCAATAAACTGTACTTTCGAAAAACATAAAATTACTTGTTGAATTCTTATGAAGCCTTGTATATTCACCAGCGCAATAAGGATGATTTATCAACTTTGTTGTATGAGTATGAGCAAAGGATAGTGTTGTATATATACAGGTATATATATATATATATATATTTATATATCGCAAAATACGTTTGACATTGAGTGTAAACGTCTATATTTGGATTAACGGCGCAAAAAAATGTACATCACGTATTGCGTTTTCGTCTTCCAAATCAATTGTTAAAAAGGAAACGTGCCTGAGTCTTGTATGTCATCATTGACTAGTTCCCAACATTTCATTTCGCAACAAAAAACAGGAATAGTGCTCACATTATAGCAAGTGAAGCCTAAATTTAAAAATCACTTAACACTCTTTTATTATTCGATATTATTACTACCTCATGCGGGCGAAAAAAAAACATGCTGTACCATTACGTTTTGTTTGTCTCATCTTCTATCTAAAAAGGTATTACTATCGTGCATTTAATCGATACAATCTGATTATTTTTGCAAGGTTGAATCATCATTTATCTCATTGTCTTACCATTTCGAAATGTAATCAACAAAGCAAGAAACAATGTATGACTGAAGGACAAATTATGAAGCTCTAGAAATAAGACTCGTGATTTGTACTAAAGATTGTTGTGTCAAGATTTATTAAGATTTATATTTTGAATATATCGAATTTTCTTTAACAGTTCGGATCTTTTATCAGTATCGAATGCTCTAAAAATATAATATTTATGATCGGATCAATTGGAAGAATTGGATTTTCAGTGTCTTTTGAAAAATGTCTGTTCAACAGTGTCCTCGACACTGTAAAGTAGAAAAAACTTATCCAGAAAGAAAAAAGATAAACGTGAGTTTTTTTATAACAAGGAATTCTATACATCAATATATGATCGAAATCAAAACTTTTTGATTTTAATAAAACAAAAGATATTATTCTATGATGCTCAACTTACTTCTTAATTCTTGCTGTATTAACCCTTTCAATCCAGACATATTCTCTCATTTTATACAAAGTTGAAGAAAATCTAGATTTCTCTATCCCTTGCGTTCTCATTTAAATAATCAGCCACACATAAATTCTAGCTATATTAGTTCAGTGCAAAAAAAAAATTTTCATAGTACATAATACACGCGCTTCTTTGACACACACATATGATATATATCATATAGGAAGACAATAGAACGCAAAATTTCTGTATTATGATATGCATGTCATCGACGAGATGATATGCGTGATTGAAAGGATTAAAGTGCATGTGATGAAAAAATTACGTTTGGATTAATTATTAGAAAACAAAACCATGGTTAAATTCTTCCTCTCTATTTAGAGTAACAACTTAAATTATATGCATAATGAACACATTGATGGCCGTGGTACTGCTTCTGATACTCAAGTTATTCTTATTGATGATAATTTGTCATGCATAGACATATATGAGCATCAAAAATCAAAAAGGATATTGATATTTATTGATTTATATACAACTATATTATAATCATAGAACATCATTTTTGAAATAAAATGAAATAAACGAGTGGTGAAAACTTTTATTCAATCAGCTTTTTCTTTATTTCTAGATTATTTCGACGTTTCGAACTATTAAATGTTCATTTTCAAGACATAACCGAGTACCGCAGATGTCTATCATATGAATTATTTTCATTTATTTACTGAAAATTAAATTATTATCTCGTGGTGTATAAGAGCTTCAAAAAACTAAACAAAATACTGGTCGTGCATGTACTCGTATTACATCTACGGTACTCGGTTATGTCTTGAAAATGAACATTTAATAGTTCGAAACGCCGAAATAATCTAGAAATAAAGAAAAAGCTGATTGAATAAAAATTTTCACCACTCGTTTATTTCATTTTATTTGAATTATCTTATGAACGCTCTCTATCAAATGAATTATTTTTCATTTATTTATTGAAAATCATTTTTGAAGATGATCAATACTGATCGAAAATTTAAAATTGCATTATAACATGTTTTTTATAAAAGAAAATATGATTCAAATCAAAAGTTTTTTTTATGATAAAAAATACTATTTTTCGTTATTCAATTCATTTCACAAAATTTTTCATGTATTAAAATTCCATGTTACAAAAAATTTACGCATGACTTGAACAAATATTTAGGGTCATAATACAACAGCAACTGCACTTAGTTTTGCTTTAGTTTGTGATTGCACTTCATCAGAATATTCAACGACATTAAGATTTCTACTATCTGTTCCTATAATTGGACGAGAAATTCAAGAAACTTTTCAATATACTCTGATTTTTTGTTAAAATGATTTATTTTTGAATTACAGTAAAACTTCCCTATAGTGGACACTCTTCGGACTTTTCAAAAGTGTCCACTGTAGAGAGGTGTCCACTATATGGAGGTTATGTGCTTCCCAAAAACCACCATCTTTTTCAAACAAGTCGACATGTTTCTAGACATCTAGAGCATTAGAGAATAAAATAATCGCGATAGAGCACATTATTACTTTTCTTTTCATGTATTTTAGTTTTGAAAAATAGAAAGATCAACAATTATCACAAAAATCTCTGATTGAGCTTTTTTTTCACCACTTTCGAATATAGATAAATGTCACTTAATTGTGATTCAAGATCAGAGATGATCGTGCAGATGAGTCTGTTGCTCAGACACAAAAAAGATCAACCTGATAAACTATGACCACTTTAATTGCCCTTAATTAGTACAATCTTTTGTTCCGCAGTTAACACTCATCGATTAGACATAATGACCTCTTTCTCTTAATACTTGTAACAAAAGGACACAAATTTTTCAATACGATTATATATGTATACCAGTTTTCCCTATTCAACACAAAGAACGTGTTCTTTCTCTACCACTGAGACGTATCTTTTTTTCCATTCCGCCGTACGATCCATAAAGAAGAGTCATTATGTTGAATGACTAATGATAGTCATCGCGACATTCTCTTTGAATTCATAGCTAGTGTCCACTATACAGAGGTTCAATTCCGGCAAAAACCGTTCCGTCTGACCGCTAAGTGCCCACTATAAGGGGGTGTTCACTATAGAGAGGTGTCCACTATGAGAGGTTTTACTGTACTTGCTATTTAGATGGTAAAAGATTTTTTGAAAGGCACAACAGCTATAATATTTATCTATGAAATTTATCGTGATTCCCAACATTATCCTGAATCAGACAAGTTAGAAATTATATTAATATGTAGAGAAATTCTATAAATCCTATTTATATTGATTTTATTCTTGTTTTGAAAGGTCAACGTTTTGCTTTGCTTGAAGAAAAAATATTTTTGTCAACAATCATTCGTCGATTTTATATAACAAATCAAAGTTATAAAAATTTTATACCGACTGAGCAAATAATTCTTCGTTCTGATAATGTACTCAAAGTGAAACTTACATCACGCACATAAATTTATACACACAAATCAATACTTTAGCTGTGTGGATCTATATATTGTATATGTAGCATACTACAGGGATGGGCGAGTCAAGCCTTTTTTCGAGTCGAGTCGAGTCCGAGTCATTTCTAAATGGTTTCGAGTCGAGTCAAGTCGAGTCACAAGATTTCCGAATCGAGTCGAGTCGAGTGAAGTTAATTTTGCCATTTGTTTCGTTTTCTGTTTATTTCATAAAGAACATTAACAATAAGTTTTCATTACACGATATCTAGTTCCTAGTTTTTATGCACAAAAAAGAAAACTAAGAACAAGCATACATAAAGTAAAACAACGCAATTACTATAGGTTTACCAATAAAATAAGAACAGTAAAATCAACTCCTTTTTTTTTACAGTTTTACACCATAATAAAACAAAAAAAAACACTTTTCATAAACAAAAACACAGGACATAAACTTAAAGTTACTTACAAGCAAAATTATTTATTAACATTTAAATTAATGTCTTATTGCTTTTTAAGGATGTTAAAATACAAATACTAGCTTGCGGAAAGCGTGAACGATGTGATCTCATGAAAAGGCCACTTTGAGAAAAAACACATTCGATTGGTGCTGATGTAGCAGGAGCACACATGATTTTTTTTGCAAGATTATTAAGAGATGGATATGAAGGTGCTTTTTTGAAAATAAGATCACTAGTTAAATTTTTCTCCTGAGAAAACAATCAAGTTCTTGTACAACTGATGGTGGTGTTGAATTATCAAGTTTTGCTTTTTTGAATGAACCAATTTTTAATGTTGGAAATAAACATTTTTTATTTTCTTTATCAGAAAATGTTATATTTGTATTATTGCTGCTAGATTCTTCAGATATGATCTGAACATCGGCAGCGGCAATGTTATCTTTTGAATTAAGTTTTATACAAGCATCAATAATATATTGTTTAATTGTCGAAATAATGTTGTTTTTTGTTAAATCAGATGATAAAGCACAATCATTGATCCATTGAAATTTAAAACGTCCATCCAAAACTGGACTTATCAAAAAAATTGAATCAGCATATAAAAACGATGTATTAGCATTTGTATTTATCTTTACTGTACAATTATCTGTGTTAATATTTAAATGTTTATAAAAACCACCAAAACGTGTTTTTAATGAAGAAATGAGAGTATCACATAATAAAGATGTACGTTCAGATTTTGTTCTTTCAAATTCAAGATCACTTAATATATTAAGAAGAATTGGTCCAACAATACTAATTGTAACTGTTTGGTCAGCTTGAGTTAAAACTGTTGCTTCATTAAATAAGTACAGCAATGCCATAAATTCATCGAAAATTTCTTTATTTTTTTCTGTTAAACATAATTCTTTTTTACCTAATTCAGTTAAAATATCATTAAGTGTCTTTAATGAAATATTCAAAACAGCAGCAACGGTCAAAAACTGAGTATTCCAACTACATTTTGTTGCACGTGGTATTGTTGTTGATAAATTTTCTAATTTTTCTGCAAATAAAATACTATCATGACTAAATTGTGCAATTTTTGCAACTTTTGTTAAGGGAGCCCCCTCCTCAGAAACGAACTTTTTTATTTTTCATCCGATTTCAACCAAAATTTCAGAGAATGTTAGTCTTGACTAGAATAGCTTATGGTTAAAATATCTCTCCCAAATCTCGAAGAAATGCACAAGTTCTAGTCAATTCATTACGCTTTACGTGGGCAAGCATTTTGCAACAAGGATACGAGCTAACAAGCTCGGACGGTTTTCAAGTTGTAGAGTACCCTTAGGGCTAGGACTTAACAGGCTCCGATTTTTGAATTTCCCTTTATTTGATTTTTAAAAAACATTTTTCGAAAAATATTCGAATTCGAAGTGCTCATAGAAATGAAATATCCAAGTATTTTATTTCAGTAAAAGACAAATTTTAAAATCGGAGCCTGTTAAGTCCTAGCCCTACATGTATCCTATATAATAAAAAAAAAATATTACTTCCATATCGAGTCGTTATGGAGAAAAACCTGCCCGTGTAAACTGCATGACGAAAAAACTAATTTTGAGAAAAACGAAAAATAAGTATTAGAAAGCGATTTTTCCGAAAATAACTTGATTTATATATCAGCGTTCAAGACAGGCTATAAATATGTGATCTTAATATTATGTTTTAATAGTCTCATAGTGATTAGTATAAAAAAAGACTACGAAATGCTGATGCAAAGAGAAAGGAGCCTAAAAGTCAAAAAACCTTGAAAAAACACCATGAAAATTTCTCGAAAAATGTGATAGTAGACGCCAGGTTTTAGACGATAAGTTCGTCAAAATCAATTCATTTTGCAATAAACGATAGGTATTCTGAAAGAAGAGACTTCGTTGCATCTTCCTACGATCAAACTTCAATTTCGACTTATCTCTGAAAAATTGGATTTTTTGAGGGGCGGGGGGTTCCCTTAAGGCAGCAGTTGCATTAGATGCATATTTAATACCATCTTTAACAACCAATTGTAACGTGTGCGCAAAGCACGGTAAACGTAATAGTTCTAAATTTTCACTTAAACATTGAAC